CCAAGCAAAAGTGAGTCATGTTCATGCCCTTGGCCTTCTTGTGGTCCACATCCAAATTCCTTGCCATGGATGCTCCCATCGAAACATCTCAGAGTCTGTTTCCTAGAAGGAGAAAATGTGTCTTGGACTTAACTGAGAGGTTGTAATGATGGAAGAGCAAGCACAGCACTTGTACTTCAAGCCACTTATGATGTATAAAGGCAGCATGAGGATCCTGAAATCAGGCAGAATCAAAGCATAATCATTCTCATTTTTCCTTTGTCACCCCTCTGCCTTCCACAGAAGAAAGTTCTGAAGTGGATAACTAACTAGGTTTTATATGGGAGAGTTTCTGAGTGAAAGGATAGAAAATCAAGGATCTTCATTTAAGCCAAAAGTTAGACTACCCCCCCCACCCCCGACACCAAAAAAAAAGAAAAGAAAAGAAAAAAAACAAAGGGGGAGGGAAGACTACTGCTGTGAGATCCAGGATGGGGATGTGACTGGGGCCAGCGTGACCAGGGCCACTGTGACTGGTGAGGCTGCGTAGAGGGAATCGTGGGGCCCTAGGGTTGCTGATGTGGCTAGTTTCCAAGAGGGAATATTATGCCGTTAAAAAGACATTTCTAGGTAAAGAGGACAGGATTTCCTTGCTGTCCTACCATTTTTTGGCAGTGTTGTACTCTGCTCTCTTTTTCTTCATAGTGAAACCAGATTTGATAAAGGACTTCATCAGTCATTAATACTTGGTGGGTGTTTAATCTCACCATGTTGGCTCTCCAAAGATTATGTGCATTTCCATGCCTATCCTATAATTACAGAAGGAAAGCTTCATCTGTTTTAAAGTAACTTTAGCTGCCAATTTGAGTTACAAATGAATTTTGAGAGAAAAGAGAAATTTTCCCAAATGTTCTTTATTACATCACTCAGGAAGTTGTATGTGTTAATTTTTAAAAGAAACATTGTTGTATAGAAAGAAAACTCCTATCCTCAAGATTATACATAGAAAATATAAAAGAAGGAGCAAATAGAAGAGTGAAACCATAAGAACAGAATCTCATGTCAAGATCTATAATAAATGGAGGCTTGAGAAAGAAATGCTAAGGATAAGAATAAATCATTTCTGAATTACGTTTGCAATAAGTGGAGTAAGAAAAGAGATGGGCCGGTGTTATGATAACAGATCACAAGAAGGAAACACCTCATCTCCTGCTACTTACGGCTTTTTTTTCCCCCACTGAGTAGAATGATTTTTAAATAAAAAATTGAAGCACAAACCTGTAAACTCAAGAAAAATTCCAGGCTGAAAGTTCGTAAAGTATTTCAAGGAGAACAGTCCCCAGCTGAGGAGGGGTATGTTCTTAGAGTACTTTCTCGTTCTCTCTAGCTACAGTTTGTGAAGTGAAATCTGGGTAGGCAGCCTGCCCTTTCCTCTCCCGGTGTTCTCCTGCCAAACTGTCAGATTAAAAATCCACCTAAACACTTGAAAGTGTGAGAATTATGTCAAAAATCAATTTATAAAAAATGTTTACTTTCTAGAGTAATATATAATAAAGTTATCCAAAAAAGTTTTAATGGTCTCTGAAGAATCAGAAAGATGTGAAATTTGTCAAAAAGTTGGAGATGGATACATATATTTCCAGTTTTCAGTTTGGGAAAGAGAATAAATTATCTGATCTGTAGTTCTATTAGAGTAATATCATTAGAAAGCCAGCCATTACTGTGGATAAATAATAGGATTTTTAATTACTGTGTTTTGAAAGTGAGCCCTAATCACAAGAATATTACATAGGTCCACTGAGAATAAATTATGAAAAGTTAAATTTACTTTTTTAAAAAGAACAACTAGACTAATAAAATACAGGATATATATCCGGATTTCAAGAAAGTATTAGAATGTCCTGTTTTCCTCCTAAGGGACAGAAGAATAGGAAAATTATAGCTAAATTATCATAAATTTAGGTGATTTCATAACTGGCTGGTATACTGTGGTTAAAACATTGCTTATAAATGATTAGGCATGGCGCAGAAACACACCACGGAGGCATTTCCACAGGTCGCCATCTTCAGCCCTTCCTTCTTCGTTTATGTCAGTACTTTGGGTGAAATCGAAAAAGATTTGTTACTTCTGTGTATACATCACAGTAAGTGGTGTGAAATAGGCTATGTTCAATGGCTGAATAGAAATTTAAAAAATCCTTCATACTTA